GTCATTCTCATGCTGAGGTGAGGGAATATTTGTATACAGCTATGAAAATTGCAGTGTTCTGTTTTCTAATTTTGATGAATTTGTTCTTGCCTGTTGATACCCATGCTGAATACTGCTGCAAAGATCACTTTTTTTAGTTTATTGTTTTAGCGGTTTTGTATATTCTTCTTCTGTATTTTATATATTCTTCTGCTTCTCCTTTCTTTGTGTTCCCTCATTTCCAATATAAGCTGCTGTTCTCACTGTGAAGGCTGTGTACAACCTATCATTACCATTTCATCTCTCTCATTCAGTACTGAGACTTCATCTGTGTTTCCATGTTGCTGGTGTTCAAGCTCAAGGTCTTAAATTTTCAAATAAATCCTCCTATGCTTCCTCTGCATTATGTGGAGCAGCCTGGGAGAGTGTTTCCCTGTAGCCAGCCACAAAACCTCATTTTCCTTCCGAATCCTCATTGCAGTTCTTTGCTGTAATGCCTAAGGTGGGTACGTCAGTTGATGGGCTATGACTAGTATCTGTCATGCAAATATTTACTCTATATTTCCTTTGTTTGCTGATCATCAGTATTTAAAAAAAAAAAAGAAAGAAAAAAACTTATAGTACCTTGCTTCACAGAGCTCACAGACTTTATTTTATTTGTACAGTGACTCCTGGTCTATGGTAAATATAGTGTGTTCTGCATCCCTTCCCATATCACTTGGCTCTCTTGGAAGTAGGGAGACTATTTTAGCCAAGGGGTGAAAACCAGGACAGAGTTGTTCTCCCTCAGTAGATTGTGTGGCAAAGGAGATCTAATCCTTCATATTTGATTTTTATAGCTAGGTTGCCACAGATGACTGCAACAAGGAAAAGCCCCTCTCCCTATGTTTATCCATCTTATTGATACACATGTGATCAGAAAGCAGAGTCCTAGGTATTACTCATTACAAGGGGGGGCGTAATTGCTGCTTCTTTTTGAAAAGCAGCTTTGTAATGAAGACACAAGCAGCGGGAATTTATTGGTTTTAACAATCTGAGCTTCCCTCCCCCTTTTTTCCCCCTAAAGTCTGGTACTGTGTGTTGTATTTGTTTGTCTAATTTAAGTAACATTGAAAAAGTTTTAACCGAGCATTAGTTTAAATCTAATTTCCTGTCTCCTTTGAGGAGAAAGGAGAGAGAGCTTTTTTCCTTTTTTTTTTCTTTTTTCTTTTTCTTTTTTTTTTTTTCCCTTTCCCACCCCTGGGGCTCGAGGAAGCTGTGCGAAGAGCATGTTCCCACAGCCTGGGGGTCTCCAACAATGACATTTCCGTTTGCAAGCAGCCACTGGGACTGCAGGCAAGGTTCAGACCACTGCTTGGAGCATTGTGAGCCTAAGCACGTACGCTTACGTCACCATAGTTCGAACCTGCATTTCTGTAGACTTTGTATAAAAAGCACTGAAGCTGAGCAGGAAATAGAGATTTCCCTCACATTCTTCTAGAAATTGTGTTTAGTTTTATTCTTTTCCTCTGGTTGGAAAGGTTTGCAGTTGTTTTCCATTTGTAATCCAAATCATTGGTCTGAGAAGAAGTAGCTGCCTTTGTTCTCAACCTGTTTGGCATGTGGCTTCCATGTGGATTTTTGTGCTAGAGGAATGACTAGTTTTGGTATCTTGTCAAAGACAGGTGATGGCTATTAAATTGTTGTCGGGGAAAGCCTGACCTGTGTGCTTGTGTGCCTAGAGGTTATAGCTCTTGTTGTTTTAAAACTGAAAAAGCTGAGTAGGGGAGTCAATTAGTTTCTACTTATGCTCAGTTAAGAGAGTTACATATAAGCATATTTACATTTCTCCATAGAGGTCTCAGAGGATAAGCTGTTGTTGTTACTGGTTGGTTCTCGATTAAAGTTTAAACTGACTGTTATCCACTTAGATGCATTAGCCTCTTTAGCATTGTTTGACTGCCAACAGCCAAGTGTAGAGTAATTTAAAAGGTTACTGAGGCATCTTGTTCATAACTCTTTTGGGCAAGGCTGCTGACTCTTTTTACAGTAACTCTGTATGCAGTCTTGGGAAGTAAGGAGATGCATTTACTGCTGCCACTGAGTATCCTACTGGAACTAAAAGATCAAGAGTGCCAGATTTCATTCTTCGCTTGTAACCAGAAGACTTCATTCCCTGCCACTGTCGGTGTTAAATCTGTTGGAATGTCTTTATCTGCAACTGAAACGTTAATTTTTGTTTGTGATCTTGTTTGCATAAGTTTCTGTACAAAAATGGCCTGTTCAGAGGAGAAAATACTTCATCAATTAGAAATTTGCCTGGATATTAACTCAGTAGAAACAGAAAAGTAAAATCTTACATTAACAAGGATATTAGCACTTAGTCTACTTCAGCAGTTTCAGAAAGAGCTTGGCATACAACTCTGTAATTTGTGTATGTTTTTATATCTTTGTGTATACAGTTGTGCCAAATCTGTACTCTTAACATCCTCTCTAGAACAACTTTGTTTATATTTTATATCTACATACTCTGTACGTCTGTTGAGCTTCATAGTAACTACCTGCTGTAATTAATACAAAGAGCTTTAGTGTTAGGCTGTTCGCTTTCTCTGATTTCTTCAGCGGTGGGGGAAAAAAAAAAGCACTGACAGTAAACTACGATTTTAACTTTAATTTTTTTTTTCCCTCTTCAAGAATATCGACATAACAAACTTCAGCAGTAGCTGGAATGATGGCTTGGCTTTCTGTGCAGTCCTCCATACTTACCTCCCAGCCCATATTCCATATCAAGAACTAAACAGCCAGGACAAGGTACAATATTAAAAATCTCATTCCTGGAACTAAGAGACTATGTAATATGGGTTTATAAAGAAGAATGAACAAACTTGCATATTTAAGTTTGGTGGTGGGTGGGTTTTTTTGTTTATTTTTAATCTTGCTAGGAATTGTAACTGTAGCACTGTAAACTGCCTTGGTTCTAGTCTTACTATAACCTTTTACTATAAGATCACTGGGCTAGCCAGAACTTTGGAACAGATATGAGAAAAACTTAACAGGCGGACATGGAAAACTGCTCAGACTTTTTTTTAACCCAAACAGTTGGGAAGGATTTTTAGTTAAAGTTTTGGAAGAAGTAGCGTTTAGATTTCAAAACTTGAAATCCATCAAACTTGTATCTTGTGACATTTTGTTCATCTCTTTCAATATTACAAAGATTTTTTTTGATCATACCTTCTCATATTGTTCAGTGAACGTTTTACTCTTACCAAGTGATATGTGTAAAATAAATTAGAAGATGTCAAGAGTGAAGAATAATCTCTATGTATTCTAGTGTACTCTAATTAATACTTACTGGTATGTTCTCTGGAGCTGCGTTATTAATGATCACTTCTTGTATATGTTCATGAAGTATTCTTATTTTTTTAGGAGTATTTTTTATTAGTTATTGCTGGTTTTAAGAATAAATCATTTATTTTATGGCAATTAAAAAACTCAATATTCTTCATTAATACTTTTTTTTCCCCAGCATTATGTCCTTATTGAGGAATTAATAAATGGTTTCCATAAGGTTTTGGGTGTTGTTAGGGCACACTGATTCATGTGGCTCATCTAAATGAATATGGCCAAATTATACACTAGACTTGAAGCAAAAATAGCAGCTTTACTTTAAACTTTCTTAACACCACTTTTTTGTTTGAAATAATATTTCCTTGGATTCTAACATGTTTTTACATCTCATGCAGAGAAGAAATTTCACTTTGGCTTTTCAGGCAGCTGAAAGTGTTGGCATCAAATCTACTCTGGTAAGTTTTAAATGCACATTGAACAAATTATGTCCCATTTATAAAAATCAAATTATTCTATTTTGTACCACTGGAAGGCTTTGATGCTTTATGCCTAAAAATAGTGGCAGATGAGCTAGCTCATCTGGAGATTATTGTGCCTCTGTCAGACTGGACTGAAAAAGATAAGATACTCCAGTACCTCAGCTGCTATGCTTAACCTCTGTCCGTCTACTGTAAACCCGCTCTCGTCATCAACTTCGGCTATGGCAGATGAATTCTTAAACAGGAAGATTCACTAAAACTCATTTTTCAGTATCATAAGAAAAATAATAAAGGGAATGTATTTGCTTGAGAACAATTTGAGAACGAGGTATATGACACTGCCTTCAAAAGTACAGATGAATTGCATCCTGTCTCTGACCTACTTTCAATTTTTTTTGGTTTTGTTGGAATTCTGGAGGTGCAAATTACAGAACTGTATAAATCATTCTCTTTTGCAGTGTAATGTGAAAGACAAGATTTTAACTCTAAGTTTAGGCTTCTAATTTGTCATCGTTGTAAATAATTGAAAGACATTTTTGAGTTATTTGTTAAGCTTTCTTGTACAAATTTCAGTTTAAAGGAATTAGCCGTTTTCAATGTGACAGTATCTACTGGGAAAGGAAGATTTCTGAAACTGGAATTGGGAGTATCCCAACCCCTTATGAATAATTGCAGAAATTTCTGCTAAAATTGCCAATATTTAAGTAATACTTTGGTAACCTGAATTCTAACAAAGCTGCCATAGTTAGCATCTAATAGTACAACGAAGTTGGACATTTCTAAAAATAACTCTTCTTGATCCTTATCAGAGCCTTTACCCATCACTGTATTTGCTCACAATGGCAGTGAAACTGTTGGGCATTAGTGCATTGCCTTTGTCAGGGACAACAGATGTAAGAACTAGATTGTGGAGAATAATGGCAGTGGTTCTTACGCAAGTTGACTGTAGTCTAAATGGTTGCTGTCTATCCTTTGATTTTGCAAGATACCTAATTAACAGACATTCTCAAAGGCAAATTGAATAGAATTAAATCTCGGTGGAAATTGTATCCATCTTAAGGATTTAGTACCAATGGTACCATTTGGTACTAAATACCGTGGTATTACATAGGTACGTACACAGTGCATATAGTGTGTTTTCTGTTTGTGTTTTTTCCTTGCCTGTATTGCAGGGGTGGAGGGCAAGCTCTGAAGGGTGAATAAAGGTGTGAAAGCCACTGTATTTAAAACAGTAGTGGTAACGTAAGACAGAGTTATTTCTTCCCTGAATAAGAAAGTATTCAGCTACTCTCATGTGGAGATTTCCAACAAATTGCTTTCTCCCTTTTGAGTTCTAGAGGTTCTTGTAACCAGAAGCTTAAGAAATAGACTCTAAAAGTAAACAGAAATGTTTGGAAACTGCATCATTCTTTTTTCCTTTGTACATATGCTGAAATGGGTAGATCATGGTATGTCTGCCCTGCTTATCCACAAATAGTCTGTTATGTCTGTATGAAATACCTGTGAACGGATCATATTTTCTCTCTTGAATGTACCCAAACTGGTAGTAAAGCTACCCTCCTTTCTCCTTGCCCCTTCACTCAAAAAATACTTTTTAAAATAATCTCAAGTTCAGCAGTCTACTTTAAAATGAGATTCAACCATTTATTGATGCTTGACTCTCTATATCCTGATATAAATTTCCAGCTTTCAGTTCCATTAATATCCAGGCCTTGATTCTGTGACTCACAGTCCCTAGGCAGATTTCATTGACTTACAAGGCTGGTGGTGTGGTATGTAAACAGTAAGGTCTTGACTACTAGTTGTACTAGATGGGGCACAACTCAAGCATGTACTAATATTAGACAGTTCAGTCTCAGATCAGCAGAATAACTGTACACAGACATCCTAAAAATAGCTGTTTGCATGTTGCAGATAATGTAAGGATCTATGGAAGAAAACAGAGCTTTCTCTCCTTAACGCTTTCAACTGTGGAAGCTTTACAGATCTATCACTACTATGAATTTGCAAGAACATTACTATGTTATTTACAAGGTTATCATTTCTAAGTTTGACCGATTTGTTTTATGTGACAGGACATCAACGAAATGGTGCGAACTGAGCGTCCAGACTGGCAGAATGTCATGCTGTATGTTACAGCAATTTACAAATACTTTGAAACCTGAAACCCAAGTAATCCAACAGACTTGTGGGATAGAACCAACGCTAGCTACCAGATGGAAATCTTACTGAAACGCTAATCTCCATTTCACTGAAAACTGGCAACATTTGAGTCCTCTCAAACTTCAGTGACATGATCCTGGGTTGCCTCAAGTTGCTTCAGCTACTAAGCCTGGAAACACCTGTTTAAAAGCAAGAACTTGTTGCCACGCTGCTTGGAATAACCCAAGTTGTTAAGCTGTCCGGATTAACGTGCTTGGAATAACCCAAGTTGTTAAGCTATTTGGATTAACAATGTAGCTAAAAAGCCTGGACTTGTTATGCACTGCCTTTCTAGCCAGACTTCCTGAAGCTCTCTTTCCTAAGAGAGTGAGATGAGTGGAACGTCTAGTATACAGGAGACTGAATGTACAGCTAAAGCTTTGAGAAGGAAAAGGATAATGTGGCATCATAATACTGAACTTTCTGAAGTGTCCCAATACCACAGAGTCTGAGTGTTCTACCCACAACATGTTGCGCCCCAAATGCAGTAGAATTCCTAGGGGTGATTTAGTTACTGCCTTTATAGCTGTTTTTCCCTCCTTTAAAACGTGCACAATATTATAGGAAAACAAGCTTTTATTCCATAATGTCGACTTGACTGAAAAGTGCTCTCAATACCTCGAAGAATTTGGCACAGAAGAACTCTTCATTACAAAGCTTCATTGTAAGCCTACCTCTGTCACAGTGACGTGGCTCCCGACTTTATCTTATGGATTGTAAGGACTAGCTCATACGACTCCTGGTTTTCAGGGTACGGTATACTTAAAGGAATCTGTCATAAAACCTCCCTGTGCTTCCATTATAGCAGAGATTAATCAATAATCTGCCCTTGTATGGCTTGTTCTTTCCCCTCTTCCTCCTTTCCTGTGTAGCGTGCACAGCCACCCCGGCTTTACTTTACAGCAATACGAGCGTACGCCATGAATTTCTGCGGTAGAATTTTGGAACTGGGATAGCATTTCCTCTTCAGAGAAGATAGTTTCAATAAGATGTAGTAATGAAGTAGTTTGTCTCAAAATCTAGCTTTGCTGTGTTTCCTGTGTGTTTTTCACTGATCTTGCACATCCTCATCTGGCTGACAGAAGGTGAGACGCTCTCGGACAAGAACTGTGGAGGAACAAGCGTAACGTGTATACACCCAATAGTCTGCAATATTGTGTGGAAAAGACTCGTTGTCACAAGGAAGGAATTGAGAAACTTTAGTCTGCTCAACTTTTATTTTCCTAGAATGCACCTGAATTCGTGTAACAACTCTCGGGCAGAAGAGTTCGTGTAAGTGCCTTAGCTGTCATTGAATTGATGCATCCTGGCACTTCAGGGCCTTGTGCAGAATGTTAACAGCTCAGAATGATTTCCTTTAGCAGTTTGTCATAAGCTATTAAAATGTTTGTTGTAATCTTGTTTGTCAAATCAAGGGAAGACTTCACTCTACCATTGCTTCTGCCTCTTATTTTCCCGAATACTCGTTAACATTTAAGCCACAATGGAGCATCCCTCCTTAATACTAACCAGAAGCCTATTTTAGAAGCGAGTTCTGTAACAACCGCTCTGTATAAGCACATGCTCTTTCAACACAGTACCCTGTTATAAACGAAATGAATCTGCCATTCCTGTGGTGCTTTTAGGACTGTTAAGGACAGTTTGAATGTTATAGAGGTTAACCCAGTGAGTGCAGCGGTGCTTGGCATCTGCAAAAAACTTCATCGTGGTATAAAAGCACAAATTTAAGTCAATTATTGCCAAATCCAAAAAGCTAGAATCTGAAGAACACAGACTGGGTAAAGAGTAAAAATTCAGTATGTTTCTAGCAACTAGCATTATATAGAATTATGGATTATAATGCTTACATTGACATGTCCGTAATGGAAAGAATACGGTAAAAATGTGCCTGTGAGAATTATGAGAAGTTGCTAAATAATTATTGAATCCATGCTGAGGGCCTTTGGAGAAATTTTCGGAGCAAGCATCTCGTATACTGTTACCATTCTTTTGGTTGAACATCCCTAAGAGTAGCTCCCTCAGATTAATTGGCTCATTTGAAGAGCCAGTATAATCTAAAGACAACTGTTGCAAAAAAGAGGCTTCAAGTGAAAAATCTTCATTGACAGATTTTAATAAAAGTCTGAAGTAAAATTTCCTTACCAGTACATTTTTTCCTAATATTTTTGTTTACTTCATTTCTTCAAATACAGTCACTATAGTAATAGTCCTATTGAAAATATAAATTATTGCTGTCTCAAATTTCATCTCTTATTACTAAATTCCCATTTTTGCACATTGGTGCTTAAAAACTCTGCTCTTCCTTTGAACAGACATCCTTATCTATGATTGTCTTACTGCCTTAGCACTGAAGAAAATATTTTTCTAATGTAAAAGACAGCAGTTCTTGGTCTAAATTCACTCATGACCTGCTTTGTTAATGTAATTTGAGTTTAAAGCTTTTTTTGTGTGCGCAATGGTCAACTTTACGTGGAATATTGTATCAGTCCTTAATTGAAATAACATTAACAGTATGCCATGTTAAAAAGTCTTTTCCAGCTATTTTTAGTTAAAAAGATGAGCTGTTAGTCTGTAGAGAGAGCAGCTATTTGTAACTATATATGGGGGGAGTGGGGGGAATACCTTAATTTGAACTCTGGAGCTCTGAATTCTGCTTCTTGGTGTGACCTATCTGATAAACTTCTACTGAAGTCGTATCTGTAAAGGATTGTCGGGCTCCATAAGGAGGATTGTTTTTTATAACGACATATCTGAGCCTGAACAAATAAGATGCTGCACTGCTGTCAAAATGAAAGCAGTGAAGCAATGGAAGATCTAAAACAAACATAATGCCCTGCTGCACTCAACAACACGGTGTTCCTAAAGGTTCAAACAGCATTTATTTTTTTTCAAGTGGAAGAATAGCCGTAGCCCTTTTGGAAATGGAGGATATTGTACTACTCGGTTTCTACGCTTCCTTAATCCTGAAAGAGCCTGTCACTCTGTGCTTATGAAGTGCAAGTTTTTTTTCCGATTTCTGCTGATTTTCCTTTTTCTAATCCAGAAAATATTTCTGAATGTGCTAACAAAGGCCAAATATTTTATCATCAGTTTTTATTATTGCATTTTAATAATGTGCCTTGCAAATGTCTGCGCTATAGTTTATCAGCGTTACTTATTGCCAGCTGTAATTGGGGGGAGGGGGCAAAATGTAGGTGTCAAACATACTGATGCCGATATAACTGTGTAATCTTCTGGATCATGTTAATTGAAACACATTCCACAGACTACAGAGATGTCAGTGTAGAGCCAGGTGTTTATTAGATTTGGCTAGTTGTCATGCTGATGCAAGATCAACAGCAGTGAACTGAACCAACAACTGCAGGGTTTTCTTTACCGACGAGAAGGGATGGGAGGAATAATTTAATTTTGATTATTCAGGAAGATTCTGTCAGAGAAGTTTAGATGTGGAATATCTAAGTATAACAACAGAGGTGAAGTGTCTCAGACTGAATCACACCTTATTTAGTTTTCAGGTGTCTTGTATATTTAAATGGAAACATGAATTCAGTAGCTCTGGTGTTGTGAATCTCAGTGGCCCTTGTAAGACTTCTCACGCTCACGCCTCTGAAGAGCTGTGAGCAAAATTTTCCCTTTTGAAGTTGTGCCTGTGGATAGGCTATCCAGAATATGGCATTTAATAATTACGGTATATTCTAATTTTAAAAGTAGTCTTTTTTGCCTCTTTTCAATCAAATATGTTCCTCAAGATTTATCAGATCATTTCTGATAAATATTTTTCTCTAGCTTTGTGAAATATTTCCACTGTTAGCGTTTTTTTCTGAAAAGTCCATTGTCATACTCTAAGGGTCTCTCAGCTTGCCAGAGCAAAATAAGCTCAGCTTTGCTGTATTGGTATAAACTCATATCGATACCACTGGCTGCAGTCAGACTCCGGTTTATATGCATAAGCAGAAATGAATTTGGCCCTTGCTATAGTGATGCACACCAGTACAGTGGTTTAAACTGCTGAAGATTTGCCTTAAAAACAAAAAGTTCTCACTGGCGTCTCGTTTTGGTTGATGATCTCAGAGTTCAGTTCTTACCTATTATCTCAATTCCCTGATTCCACCCTTCAGACTAGAAAATTGACCATTTGAATTCTGTTGCATCTTTTGCAGGACCAAAATACTACTGTTACTCATTTCTCTCAATTTCTGTACAGTTTTCAGCCAAGGTACACATTGTACAACTATGGTCCAGATTTAAAGGAGATTGTTTGGGAAGCTGGAGGTATGGAGGACTTCTGGATGTGTTTGTTTCTTCTGTGTTGTGCTCATGGCCATCTTGGGATGCTGCCTGGTTTTTTGGTGATCTGTGACAATCCCTTCCAAAGTTGACCCCTCTGGATGGCTGTAGTCGTATGACTCACCTGGTGATTTTACTTTCTAGTTGCCTGTTGCGGCCGATAGAGTCACAGCTGAACTGCAGGCTGCATCCAGAGCAGGAGCTATCAGAGGGCAGAATCCTTCTGGAAGGGAATGCAGTTAATATGCGTTTACGCCATTTTTTGCCTATTGTGAGAAATATTATTCTCTAGGTGGCCTGAGAAAGAGAACTTTAAAATAGTAGTGTTTGTGTGCAAAGTGATTTAACTACAGGTTGTCTTATGATCCTTCCCTTGATTTGATGTAATAGACAAGTAAATATTTATTTCTGTTTTATGTTCTACTGTTCTACCAAGACCTATTTCTGCAATTCCTTTCTTTAAAGGAGTGCACGTATGTCAGTAATCATTACAGCGTGTCAGTAATATTAACCAGTTTGAGAAACAATTCGGCAGGAAGTGCTATTAAAGCAAGATAGTAATGCAGGAGTTGTGAACATGCCCCTCGCAAGATTCAGTACGCAGAGATGGGTAAAATATGTTAGAACTGCTTGACTGTTCAATGGCTCCTCTACTGCCTGCATCTCCCCAGTACAGCCGTCCCGTGTTCTTGCCCTACAATCCTCCACTCTCTAGATAAGCTAAGGATGCTAGACAGCTCTTACTGTATTTAATTGTCCCTGTTTAGAAAGATATCTCTACTAATGTTATTGCTCTCAAAAGGGAGTGGCTGGATGGGTTTTGAACTACTGTCTGGCTTGCTGAACATTTCCCATCATTCATTCATCTAAGTTTTCTCTGTTGTATTCCCTGTGATTTCAACATCCGTGTTTAACTAC